GCTGGCACTTCAGGAATGCTCTAAGTGGAGCTTTATTGGCTCATTTATTCATGCACCCTGACTCTCTTTTGTTTCCTCTGTCTTTCCACAGTCTGTTTTATGACACTCTATTTATTTCAATCAACATAACCCAAATTGTTTATGAGAGCATGCAGTTCTTCTTGCTTTTGTATTCAATATTTTTATTCCAACACAGCAAAGAATTTGGATTTCTGCTGCACGCAGTGGCCTATTAAACCATATTATTCAATATCCATACACGGTTTTATTCTTGTAAGACAATGCATGAACTAGATTAAGTTCTTCATCTAATTGTAATGCCTTAAAATTTAATAAAATCTGACTCTACACTGCTTCTGTCGTATATATGGAGCATTAAAGAGGTTGAAGATTGAAGCACTCTAGAAGGACAAGGAGGTTCTTGAGCAATATGCTAGCTACATCCATCAGCTTGTTAAGGTTGTAGGCATAGACGTTCTTTGGGCGAAATCCAGAAATCAGTGTGTTCACAGTGGTGTATGCCTTAGCAAATATATTATTTACTATTTTTGCAATCTTACTTTAGTGCGTTTGCTCATAAATCAGTCATAAATCGCTATCAGCGTTGTAGCACGGTAACATTTTCAGTCAGCAGTCTCCGGGGGCAACATACTTTGCATATTTAAACGTCATCAGCATGGTTGCCAACTCACACTGTTCACATGGGACTCTTGCTCTGAGCCTCTGGCTTATTCTCACACTGCCATTGACAACACTCAGCAAATGTTGCCTCATTTGGTTGTATTAATTCAGCCTTTGGAGCTGAAGATGTATGATGCACACTGCAGCCTCTCAGACAGTGTTTCTGTGTGGACTCTGTATCCTCCTTCATGTGTCAACATCTGTTTCCACAAACACACCAAAGCTATTAATTATACAGTAAACTGCTCTCAACTGGTCAGTTAGAAAAGTCAATAACGTTGCTAGTTCTGTCTGTGCAGCTGTAATTTGAAGCGCCTGTGTAGTTAACTGGTTACACATACTGTGGAGTTATACTACTACATACTAGCCTATGTAGTGTATTGTATTTATCCATTATACACTATATGGACAAAAGCATTGGAACACACCTCTTAATCTTTGCATTTCAGTCCCTAGCTGTTTAGTGTGCCTTCACAAACATGTATAAAAGAATTAGCAGAAAGTAGCAGCCTGGATGCAGGACTCAGCAGAAAGAGGTGAACTTAACTTTGTTGCTGGCAAAAGACCATGAAAACAAGAAACTATCATTTTCATTTATAACTATAATAGGGCGATGTAGGAACTTATTGACAGACTGACAACAAGCTGAACTGACTGACAGACTGAACATCACAAACACAAGACAAGGGACTATCAAAATAAAACAGGAAGTAACACACATACTGAGAACCAGACTATGACACGCGCACTTGGCAAAACAGGGATATTGACAGCCAGAGAGACATGGGAACACGAATGGGGAGACAGGAAAGGTTCACAAAAGGAAAATGAACTAGAATGTAGACAGGCTACAAACAGAGGATGTAATACATGACCAAGGAATTCTACTACGACAGTAAGGAACCAAATTCAAAGAAAAAACCTTCCGGTCTAAAAGTCAGATAACATAATAACCAATACAGAAGCATAAAGACAGATATAAGATACAAAACAAATATACAGACATACTGTATGATCATTATAGTATGATGATGATGATGATGATAATAGTGCATCTGACTCCTAATCTGCATCCCTTTTTTTTTTTTTTTGGTATTGTGCTCTCCAGTTCAGCTAAATTGGGTGAAAAATTTTACACTTCTTCCATATGGAAAGGTTACTTGGGGAAATACCTTACACCACATGACTCATTTTTCAGCAGTGCCCACACCTGCTTATTCATACTTATTATGCAGGTATGTAGAGATTTGTGAATGAGTGAACAAAACAGTGATTTCAGACGTAGCCCATATTTTAGTGTCTCATAGCACAAAATGAGAATAAAACACCTCCAAGGATTTAAAAAGGATTTTAAGTGACAAATGTGCATCGTTGTTTTTCATTATGTCAGAGGTCAGCACACTGATTTACATCCATTTCCTGGAGATTTACTCCAACCCTAAAAATAACTACTAGTAAAGCTAACCTTAGCCTAAATCTCAGCTTTCCCCAAACATTTAAACAACCTTCAAATATAAAGATTTTCAGTATGGGGTTGATTTGTCCCCTTAAGGAAACGTAATGATGGATATCAGTGTCATTCTGAGCAAACTAATGACTCTGTTGTGTCCTATTACCCAGTAGCCACAAAGCTGCTTTGGACATGTAACTCATTGATGAGCGGAAGAATGGAAAATAAAACAATGGTGTGGTAAACCCTCTTTGGCAGTCACTGTCATTATACAAATGCTGCAAAGCTTAGTGATATGAATAATTTCACAACATCTAATTATTTTTGGCATCAAAAATATCAGAAGCAATGATGTTCTTTATTAAAAACGGACATCCAGGTATATATTTTATTTAGAAATTGTCCAGCTAATTGTGCCTTTCATTTAAAAATTTTTGTTTTGTTTTCACGGCTGTTTTCGACCTAATTCCAAGCCGCAGCATTCGACTCTGTCCGTGAAATGAGCTTTGAAAAATTAATGTAGGTTAAAAATCAAGCATTCACTACCCAGCCAATCACCGTTTGCTGAAAACATTCCCAACTTTGCTGGTGAGCAGAGTAGAGCATTACAAATGGAGTAAGACAGATATATTGTTCAACGGTCGGTGAGGGGAATGTTAAATAAGCAACTGTTTGCCAACACATTTGCCGTATTCACTTTATTATGCGATAAGTCAATTTTGTGTTTGCAGCTCGTCGCGAGCGGAGGCACTTTTTGTTAAATTTGTAAAGTGCTCGTCGGTGATGAATATACGCTGAATAAACGACAGCGTGCTCCAGGCTGCTTCCATTAAGGTTAAGAAAGATTTTCATCCTCTGTGTCGACGTGCAGTTCCACCCACTTTCCTACCAGTCGGTGTGTGTCTGTGTGATTCTTGTGAGGCGTGTCACTTTCTGTGACAGCGGTCTTTTCTGTGTCTACATTGTCCTGAGCAGCTGCAGGTAATTTCCCCCACCTATTGTCCCCTTCCACACTGTCAGAAACTATAATTCAGCTCTAACCAAGCGAGAACAGTACCACTCTGTTGGACTCCGTGTGAGTCAAGGTGAGACAACTTTGGAGGAGGAAAGGAGGTGTGGAGCGTGTAATAGTTTGGGGACTTGTTATACCTTACTGCAACTGGGAGAACTGGGCTTACAAGTGGACATGCACGAGGCAGCGCAAAATCTATGACAACTCCTCAAAGTAGAGTGAGGCCAATGCGACTTTAAAGCCGTGCGTAGAGGCACGTTCAACATTGTTTTTTCTGGGGGTCAGAAAGGAGTAATATAGCAGTTTAGAGGCTTTCGGGCTCTGCACTATAATGTTGCAGAGCTTTGACAAACAGTAGTTCATCTTGCTGTAGAGTTGGACTAGTACAGCACGGCTGACAGCTGGCTCTGTTACTGCTGCTCTCATGGGGGAATGGAGAAAATGCTGTTTCTGTAATTTTGATGGATTTGTTTTTTTTGTTTACTTGGCTTCCTTTTTTCATCCGTAGGACCCATTAAACCCAGGCTGAAAGCCTTTTATAAGACTTATTGCTGCTCCTTGCAAAATGTACATATTCAGGGGAGAAATCCACCTTTCATCCAATAGAAACACTGGAGTGTGAAAGAGTGATGGCTCTGTAATGGTTTTGCCTGTTTTCTTGGCAGTGTTGCAGTTAGCTGTGGCAGAGATCAGTGGCAGACTTGCACCAAACTATCGGGCACATTCTGCTGCTTCTGTGTATTTAGTCAGTGACAGCAGCCCGTCCAACAGGAGCAGCATCGGGGCTAGATTAACGGCAGAAGCTATAGGAGACGGGCCAAGAGTGGGAATCATGGAATTTAGTCTTGCTTGTGGGTTTTGTTAGCAGCAGGGGCTGAAATGTTGGGACAAAGCCTAGGCTTTGAGTAGAAGTTTGGTTTTTGTTTTGGCTCCGAGTGCTAAGTGGAAACAAGCTGAAGTGAAAACCAAAGACGGAAAAAGAGCAAGGATTCATGTTTGAGAAGGACTTATATCAGAGGCTAAGTTGGAAATTCACCCAGAGAGCTCTCTGGTGTCATCTGACAGTTTGTCTTCTTAAAATCTGCATGTCCACGTGCTCCCTTTTCATTTTTTTAACAGCTAGATTGATGTGAAAGGCCACAATAAATGGGAACCGCAGGGGAGATATCTAACAGGAGTTAATGGGCCACTAAGGGAATATTTGGTTTTGAAGGCGGGCACATAGTAACTACTACTCCTTCTCTGGGGTTTCACAGCTCTTTAAGTAGACCTGTCAAATTTCCATCTTGAGTTAAAGGAACGTCCCTTTTGTTGTAACTCTAGATTTTAGAAATTTGCTCAAAAAAAGATAACTGCACAAATATAGCACAGACTCACAAGAGATTTGGCCTGAATTAGACATAAAACACACACCGGAAAAACAACACACCACTGCACTGTGATGCTTAAGAGAAAATGTCCTTGGTGAGCAAAAACATGTCATTTGTTTGAAAGGCAAAGGGAATTATCAGATGAATTGTCATTTTCTTTCAACTGTCATCTTATTTTTGTTTATTTCTTTTTCTTTTTCTTTTAAACATCACAATTGGGAAATGGCGCCGAGTCGAAGAAGCGAAACAATACAAATTGACAAGATGACAAAAGTGCAGTTGGAAATCCAGTTGACGAGAGTAGAAAAAGAGGTCTTGGTGACATTGGCAGTGTAACCTACTTTTAACGTGGTGACAGAACAAAAAAAAAAAGCATGCGGCGATTCTATTTTCTGGAATGATACACGCAGGATATTTGAAGTTCTATGACAGGCTGTGTTTGAAAGCTTTTATCTGAAGGCTTCGTTTCACGACCTCTGCGTTTCAGAAAGCAGCGTTCACGAGGGAAGCAACGACAACGATGGCAGCGTCTGCGGCAGTGACTCCGCCTTCTACAAGCAGAGCGAAGGTGAGGGATGCGGTGATGGGAGGGCGGCGTTTTGTGGCACTGCAGATGAGTAATTCCAGCCACAGGTAGAATCAGCATGCTTGTGCTTTTCTATATCTCCTGGATGCAAATGCAAATAAACCTCCTTTCATGCAAAAGTGCACATAAATAAAATTCCCGCCCTGTGCTCACCACAGACAGCAGATTTTCTTGTGGATGCTTATTATATTTACACGTACGCTTTCATAAATGGATAAATATGCTAACAAGATATGCGGCTGACAATAAACAAACCCAATTTTGTTTGTTTACTGGTAATTATCTGCTGTGTGCAGTGATCAAGATCTGCCATTTAGATAATGTCAACTTCTAAAAGGCCCATGCAGAAAAAAATACCATATGCTTAATGTGTGTATGTGTGTATTTGTGTTTATAGGTGTGTCAGAAATGCCAACAAAACTGCGCTCTTTTATGATGATTTACAGCAAGGGTAAAATAATCGTAGTATGAGTCAAACTGAGGGTCGTTGTACACATTAAATAAAATCGTTTGAATTTCAGCATCCTAGCAACATCAGCACTAAGCAGGCACTAAATAGGAACTAGAAGGAGAAAGAGCGTATTTCTCCCATATTACCTTGCCTTCAATGGATCCCTGTTAAATCTAGCATTTTGAATAATATTTTGAATAATCAGTCCCCATCTTATCTTTTAGACCTCATAGTATCATATCACCACAATAGAGCACTTGATTCTCACACTGCTAGTTTACTTGTGGCTCCTGGGGTATTTAAATGTAGAATGGGAGGCAGAGTCGACAGCTTTCAGGACTCTCTTCTGTGGAACCAGCTCCCAGTTTGGATTTGGGAGACAGACTGTTTAAGATTAAGCTTAAAACTTCCTTTTTGATAAAGGAGATGGAACTAGATCAGGTGACCCTGAAAACCTACCTTAATTATGCACCAATGGTCTCAGGCTGCTCCCATTAAACACTTAGCATTTCTTCTTCACTCACTCTTTTTCACTGTGTTTCTACACCACTGTGTTTAACCATTAGCTATTATAATTACATTCAGGACAGAAGGCACCCTTCCACAGTCCCTTCCCTTGTGCCCAACAGGTCACAGCAGATGGCGCCAGTTTCTTCTTGTTAAAAGGAGTTTTTCCTTCCCACTGTTGCCAACCAATTAGTCGTAGAGGGTTGTCCGATTGCTGGGGTTTTCTCTGTATTAATGCAGGGTCTTTACCTTACAATAGAAAGCACCTGTCTAATTTCAATGGCATGACTGCTGCAATAGTTAGAAACTAAAATTTGTGCAAAAAGCTCAAATAAGGTAATTTAGGGCTCTAGGAAACTATGAATGTCTGTAGGAAATTTCAGGAAATAGTCATTTAAATGCGCCAAATGGACCAAAATATTAGGCCACTCCTCTAAATCTTTGCATTCAGGTCTTTTCAGTCCCATTGCCGCTGATTTATAAAATCAAGCACTAGCCATGCAGTGCGCCTTTACAAACGTTTGAAAAATTTGGCCGTTTAAAGACTGAATTTGAGAGTGGTTTGTGTAAAGTTAATTAAGCGGTGTCTGTGTCTCTCTGTGCAGAGTGCTGATGGACTTAATAAAAGTCTCTGACGCTTTGCTTACTCAATAACAGCATAGAACCGAATCTCCATTGGCATTAACATCAGCACAAAAGCTGTGCACCGGGAGCTTTGTGGCATGGGTTTCAAGTCGATACTGTAGGTGTATGTGGCCCATTACTTTTCTCTATGTAATCTAGTTCATTCTGGAGCGAAGCAGTGGATCACTATCACCATCCACAGGGGAGGGAAGGTTAAGGGAACTCTGTATGCATGCATTTATTTTTGTGTGCGCTGTGTTGTGTTATCAGGGCACAGTATGGCAGAGACACTCACAGTCGCCCTGCGTGTTGCTGAGGAGGCTATAGAGGAGGCCATTGCTAAGGCAGAGGAGTTCAGTGACAGCTTGGTAAGACATCCCTCTCTTCCCCTTCTTCCTCTCCCTCTCTTGTCCTCTGCCTCTCCTTTTCTTCCCCCCACTTTTCAGAGCTTTCGTATTGCCTTCCTGCTCTCCATCCCCATATTTTCAATCCCCTATATCACTGTCATGGCTTCTTACTTCTCCTCTACTCTTGCCTCCCTCTTGGTCTCAGTATCAGCGGGATACAGTCATGGTTTTTGGCAAAGACCTTTGCACAGACTCTCTCTTGGTAATTCACATTCACTTTGAACTGAATATGCTGCGCGTGTGTGTGTGTGTGTGTGTGTGTGTGTGTGTGTGTGTGTGTGTGTGTGTGTGTGTGTGTGTGTGTGTGTGTGTGTGTGTGTGTGTGTGTGTGTGTGTGTGTGTGTGTGTGTGTGTGTGTGTGTAGGAGAAACAGAATGAGGCTCGGTATCTGCGGGACCACAAAGAGGAGCTCATAGAAGAACTCGCCACAACCATTGTACAAAAAGTAGGTATTACTTTAGTGCAGGTTTATTCGTCTCTTTTATGTGGAAGCATTAATTGCAGCTAAAATCTTTCAAAATAAAAAAAAATGTAGCACTTCAGGCTATGCCTTTCCTCTCCACCCTTTACAAATGGATTGACAAATAATTACGCTTTTACTCTATAATTTCAAACAGAAGTCATTGCACTTATATAACGTTTTAGTGAAATATGGCACAGGAAATAATTTTCAAGCAAGAAAAGAGCAGAAGGTCTTCAAAAATGATAATTTAGAGTGTCAAAATCTGCATAAATTACTTTAAAATTCAAGTGACAACTGCTTTAATTTTACACATGGCATTTAATTTGCATGCAGATAGTGAGTGGAGCCAGGATCTGCAGTTGTTTGATTGCCTTTGAGTTTAAAGTCAAACGTGTTGGAAATCAGTTCACTGGAAATGAAATACTTTGAAGATTTCAGCACATAATGTTACAATAAAATTTAAATGAAAATTAAATCATCGCTTTAAAAATTATTAATGGCTAAACATAAAATTCTGTTGTACGAGCGCATTTCTGCTTTCCATTGTGCATTTATTATTCTAGTTCATCCTTTTAAAAAGCTTGTTGTGTACGCCTCATAGCTTGTATGCACAGTCTCTGTCATGTTCTCTCTCCTCATCGCCTTCTTCACTTCCTTTTTTTCTTTTTCTTTTCCCTCAGATCATCCAGAGAAGGAAGCGTTCAGAGATGCAGACAGAGTTTGACTTTGTCTGGCCTCAGTCTCAGTCTCTGATCCAGCCCAGTGAACTGCCCTCTCCTTCTCAGCCTCACACTTCATCACAAGGACCACAAGACCCGCTCAAAACCTCCTACTCTCTCTATGTGAGTCCCTGTGTCAGTCTAAACTGTTGGGACATATGGAGCATGTCATGCTGCCGTATTCAGCCATCTCTATTTAAGTCAAAAACAAACATGCAGAATAAATACAGATAAATATTAAAGAAGGACATAGCCAATGAGACACTTCTAAGAGGCACTACAGTGTGTGATTTCTTAGTAGCATGGATCACATACTGCTCTGTACGTGACCCACCGATGACAGGTTCTCTTTTTTTGACTAATTGTGAATGCAGTCACTTGAAATTAGGTAGTACGATTAGATTTCCTAATATAAGCTGTATTTTTTTCCTCAGACTCTTTTTTTTTTAATACTAATTTTTCTTAATGATGTGTTGGAGAATTCTGGAAGAGTTTACTTACTGTTGAGGGTTTGAGGGAAAGGTCCTTTTTTTTGAAAAAAGATAATACAATATGCCAACTACAGCAAGTCCTCACACAGGAACACATAGGCAAATCAATAGTACACAAACCTGGCACGGGTTCATACTACAAGTCACCAAGGACTCCTGGAGATTTGTCATCGTCCTGTGTGTTTGCAGAGCATCAAGGCTGCTCTCCCCGGGGCTCTGCCTTCAGTTTCCTGCTGTTTCACTCAGTGAAGATCAAAGTCTTGTGAAATACGCAGGGATCCTCCTCGACTGCTCTGCCTGCCATGGGATAAGCTGTGTTTATCAGCTCTCTACAAAACCACTCACTGACAGACAAAGCATGCAGATTTACACTCACATGCGTACTTACGCGGTGTAACACTAAACCTTAATGTTGTACCCCACCCTTTTTAAAGAGGAATTTTTGTGTGTTTAATTCTGCAATTAATTTCTCAAATTTGGGAGAAGAATAAAGTATAGCTTAGCTTAGCTTATTTTTCGAATTGACGCCAGAGTACAGATCAGACACTATTCCTAAAAGCTGTCAAATGTAAAATGCACCAAAAAGCTCTCATGAATGTAAATTATGTTGTTCCACAGATACACAAATATTACACAAAAATACACAATACACAAAAATTAAGTAATAAATGACTAGTGATTTAGTATATTAAAATCTTGAGCTAATGTAAATGTATAACTTTTATTTGTTTCGCACAGAAAGAATCACAGGAACTGCTTAGTAGATATTTGCTCAGTGTTATAGCTCCACCTGCTGGTGAGAATGGTAAATTACAGCCGGCATAGTAGTGACGTTTTAGGGGTTTTTTTATTGCTGGACAGGAAGTGAATTGTCCAGATGGACCAAATGCTCTTATGTGTATTACTTAATTACTATATATGGATATTATATTTTCTGGCCAAGTGCCAGTTATCTCTGTTTCTCAGCTAAAAATCTGTCTGAACTTCCTGTCAACAAAAAACTAAAAAAAAAGAAAGAACCTGTCAACAGAGTTGTGTACCATTCTTTGGATCTGTGTCATATTTCTCTGTATTTACCTGTGTGTGTGTCAATGTTTGTTCTTGCAGCGGTTGCGGTCAGCGTTCTCTCTCACCAGTGACGACTCCCCAGAGAAGGGTCCAGAGGAGGAGGTAGCTGAGGCCGGTGGCGGCAACGACGGCTTGCAGGAATACGCTTCTCTGAAAAGGGAGCCAAAGGCGGCCACATCTTTACCCACCTGGAAGAGCATGGATCGCCTGGATAACTCGAGTAAAAGTCACACTCACAGACTCTTTTTGGTTGAGCAGCTTTCCATTTCGCTTTTATCAGTTTAAATATAACTTTGTGTAGATGCATAACTGAATAGATTTAAAGATTTTTAGACAAAGGCCATAGATTTACTTTTACATGTCGTAAAGATGCACATACATACAAAGACATACAAATTATTTGTAGAAATTTACCCCATGCATTGCTCTATATTAGCCTCATATAATTTTATTGAGAGTATGGATATTGAATTTATTTAGTACTCTCTGAATCCCTGCAGTTGACTCCGTTCTTCTATACTTCCTGCTGCTGCTTGTGATTTTCATCCAGGTGCCTCTTCAGTGCTCCAGAGTCCAGACGGCAACTGGATTGCCCTGCACAGTTCCCAGCTGTCTCGGCCCAGCCTGCTCACCAAGAGGAAGAGCCTGTTGTTCAGCGTGCTGGAAAAGGAGTCTGGCGTTGTCTCCGCTTACGACGAGATGGGATCTGACTCAGAGGAGGATGATGAAGGTGGCTGGGGTGCAGCGCTGAGGCAGTTTCGCCGCAAACTGTCAGATGAGACTTACTACACGGACTCCCAGCACGACCCCGAGTGGATTTACACTCAGCATCTCCCGGTCACCTCACCATCCTCGGGGCAGTACACCAACACAGAGACTCTCAACTCAGACTCCGAGGCCTCGTCAGTGCTTTCTGCGTGTCCCCGTAAACCACCCCACAATCTGATGAGGAAGAAAGGACCACCGGATACACACCTTCACCCTCATCACCAGCCGCTGCATCACCAACACCTTCAGCAGAACTTTTCTCCATACCCAGTCCAATCAGAGTCATTGGATGTGAACTTTAACCCTAAGGTGATGTCTTTGAATTATCCTGTTCTACAAAGTCAGATGTAAATATTGTCCTTTGTAGTGAGAATTTTAGAGCCATATCAAGTAGTTGGTGGACTAATATCTGCAAATATTATAATTATAATATCTGCAAACACCTTTCAACCATATTATCAGTGTTGATGTTGTCCACCAGAGGGCACTCTGCAACTTGCCTGTTGGAAATGCATGTATAGATCATCACAAGCACAACAACCTGCTGATTAACAGCAGAGCAGGAGAGAGCATAACTGAAGAATCACACATGAGAAATTTTAGGGAGATTCTAAAAGGAAGAAAGAAAGAATATTGACTGATATATCAGAGTATTGGCTTTACCAAATATCGGTATTGCTATCAGTCTTAAAGTCCTATATCAATTAATTACTCAACAGCTCTTTATTTGCTGATTAAAAGGTCATGACTGCTTTTGTAGAACTGGGGATGCTCCCTGTTACACTTTTTTGTACTCTGAAAAGAGACTCCGTGTTCCTTAAGTGAAAAGTACCCACCCCCCAGTTAGCTCTTTTTTTTAGTAGAGACAACAATAGAGAACAAAAGATACGTGAGTTTTTACTTGCAGTCCTTGGTGCAGAGGCCTCAAATGAGCCGACAAAGATACAGAAATAATAGTTGCGTTCAATTAAAACCTGATAACAAAAGACAGTCCTAGAAAGAAAAGCATGTTATCATGTGAAAGCTTTAATCTGATATGTAACGGTGGCACATGTACCTGTTTACTTCCTGTCACTGTTCCCAGGTGATGGGAGACAGTAGCGAGGCAGAGGAGAGGCAAAGTGATCCCGTCAGAAGGTCACGGCGACGCAGGAAGAGTAAGAGGGAGTCATCATCAGAGCAAAACAGGACTGGAGGCCAGAGCCATCCACAGTCCGTCTACCCCTTAGCGCAGGTAAAATTTAGTGATTCCTTATTGGTTGTTAAGAGGAACTCACTTTAAAATCCATCTGTGCATCTATTTATTGGGGCTGTTCGGCTTGGTTGTAAAGCATTGTTTCACCATTAGAAGGAACCAAATGAAGGTCTCTAGTTCAGGCTGCTTTTCTCTTTAGGGTTAGGCTTTAGTCTTTAAAATCTGCAAATATAGGTTACCTGCTCGATTTTTTACAATTATCTTTTGATTTTACATGTCGACCTTTAAGGAAAACAGTGGTATTCTACTCCACGCCCTGCTGAAGAGGGGATTAAGTGAGGAACAGCCAAAATCTGACACTATACCAGTGGCCACAGCTGCACCAGACGCCTTCAAATTAGATGCTATGACAACTGAGCCAGAGGACCTGGACACACTGGCGCCAAATTCACCGGTCCCCAGCCCTTCTCAGCCCCCCTCCTTGACCCTGGGGCGAGAGCTCTCATCCAGTAGCTCAGGGCCTGGATCCACAACCAGAGATCCTCTAGAAGGGGAGCTGCAGTCTAGACTTGGTCAGCTGGTCATCAGTGCCAACAGCAAAGTCAGCAGCTCATCTGAGGAAGAGTGCACAAACTGGCCTGCAGACAGGCAGACGGATAAAGAAAGTGACAGACAGAGAGAGAAATTGAAGCCAAAGGAAAGAGAGCGAGAGAGGCAGCGAGTGAGTGACAAATCAAGAGAGAGAGCAAGCGAAGCAGTAGAACAAGTGAACGGACAAGAGATTAAAAGAAGCGAGAAGCTAATAAAGAGTCCCTCGGTGAGAGAAGACGGCAGAAGTCGGGAGAGGAGGTTTGAGAAGGCATGCGAGAGTTTAGATATGAAAGTGGAAGACCAGGAACAAAAGAGAGGAGACAAAAGAGAACCCAACAGGCAGAGTAAGAGACAACATAAACGAGATGCGGAGAAGGAAGCGGGACCGAAAGGGGGAGCGAGGAGCGGATCCAGTGCAAGTTCGCCTGCTGTTACCCCTTCTTCCCACGAGGGGGCGCTGTCAAACAACCAGGTGGGGAGATGTACACAAGATTTGATTTTCATCTGCAGAGCGTCTTCTGCATGTACTTGCATTGCAGTCTGTTTGTTGCCTGTTTGTAAGCTTTTAAATTCTTTTTTTTGTGCCTTCAAAATCTATTTCCTATCACAACCTCCTGTGTTATTTACCTGACAATCAGTGCTGTCATTATCTGTCCCTCATCCCATGTTTTCTCTGGTTTGCTGTGTTGTTTTTGAGTTTTTTGTCTGGTCTGTGTGTTCCTGGTAAACGTGTGTGTGCTTTCTGTATGTGCATATGTGTCAGGTGGGACAGAATGACTTGGAGCAACTTCAGAGGCTTCAGTTGCTCTCCTCTGTCTTACAGCAGGTGAGATATAAGGGCTAGAAAGAGGATGTAGTTGGAAGTCATGCACAAGGATACACAAACCTGCAGCCATCCCATTTCATTTATGACCTTAATATCTTATTTACATGCACTGTAGTAAATTGCATTATGATTGCATACATATGATTAAAATGGTCAAATTTTTGGACTCTTTATCAGTCCATACAGTGCTGTGAAAACCCCTCATATCCCTTCATTTTGCTTCCAAGGGGCGAGACTGTGTGTTGAGCAGTAGGTTTCCAGGCTTTCTGAAGGTTATTCGTTTCTTCACTTTTCTGTTTAAGACTGTAAATTACTTTGATTTCTTGTGCACTACAAAAGTATGCGTATTATCAGAAATCTTTATTGTTTAATGTATGACTTTTGACATATATTGGGCAGGTAAAATAAACTTTAAATAACTACAATCTGTTATGTCAAAAGTATTGTTCCAGCTCATATTTAAAGTTTCTTCTTTTTTTTTTTTTGCATTTATAATCAACTCAGCACTGAGAAATCAATAACTACACAAAGTCAGATAGATGGGACACACGTACACACTTGGACAATACATCTGAGGCATGAGGGTCGATGCTGATCATTAAGCAGACTCATTCTAAGGGCTTCTATGAGTAATGCTTGCCTCTTCCAGCTTGTATGACACATGTACTGGTGTGATCTATTTCTGATGGCTTTCACAGCTCCCTTTACAAATCCGCCAGGACGCCTCAGTGCGATGTGAATAGAGGAAAACGTGTGACCATAGCCGTGATATTTGCGCCTTTTTGAAGCGATATCTAGTGTTTTGCCTTTATTAAATGAATCCGAATGAAAACCGAGTAGCTCACTGCCGTCGTACTAATTCACAGCATTTTCAGCGTACGTGATCTTCAGCAGGTAAGGGTCTGGATGGTGTACAGAAATAGACATAAAGCAAAGAATATTGAATAAATAATCCCAGATTCACAAAATATCAACCACCTGTGTTCATTACTTTTCATGCCCTTATGAGCTCATCCCCACTAGAACCACTGCTGTGGACACAGGTGGTGTCATTTGAGGCTTTGAGGCTTTAGAGATTAGCCCTCAGGGTGGAGAAGGTAATTGGGCCGTGTGTATGCACAGAGGGAACGATACAGGAAAAAAAGTTGAACAACAACTTTTTATTCCTGTACGCCAATCTGACTTCCTTATTTATTTATCTTCCCTGTGTGTGACATATTCCTATATTCAAAAGGCATCAAACTAGTTTCTTTGTTTTTTATGTACTAGGATCAACTTTCCTCATTGATAGGAGTGAGATATCAGTGTCTGTGATGACTGTTTGATCAGACGGGTGATGGCCTACTTCTTTGAAGTGGATCAGCACATCTCCACTCCTCCTTTGACCAACCCAAATCGATACCTCACTGTGTCCATCTCTGCGTCTCATTCTTTTTTAAGATCGATCGATAGTGATTTAAAAAGGAAAAAAAGATAACCAGCATCTCGTCTCTTTTTCATCACTTACCTTCTCCGGCTAAAATCCGGCTTTTCGGACTGTCACACTGTGCCCGAGAGGGATCGATGTGCTTCCGATCCCACTGATCAAAGCTTCAGCAAATTATTCATTCATTATGGAATAACATCTTTCTCTCTTTACTGCTATTTCTTATTCTTGCTCAGTGTTTACATGAGCTCAAGAGGATGAAACGGCAACTTTCTTCACTCACCGTCTTTACTTTTGAATCATTATTTGTCACATTATTTGACATGAATTTGGAGGCAGGCTGCTTGGGTTTGGCTGAAATGAGAGATCTCCACAGCTGACTTAAGTCATTTCCATTTCCTGATTAGCCGAGGCATCAATCGACAATCTTATCTCCTCTACTGGCAGATGTTAGATTATTTTGAGTAATGATCCAATCCTCAGCTTCACATCCAAACTGCAATTGCTTTCCTGAAGCTCAGTGACCAGAGATGATGTGTCCACAGTGCCATCATTTTCCAATTCAAAGCCTAAGAAAAAAAACAACAACAACTGAAGATGACTCACTTCTCTGGCTTTGTCTTGAGACCTCATTACCCCATTTCTCACATCCCTGTTCTGCACCCTCTGACTGCTTATCCAGGTCAAGCATGTGTGGATGTGGGTCCTCACAAAACATTAATTAGGCGACCAGAGTGACAAATATATGTGCACTTGTCACCTGCAAAATGTTCTTTTTTATTCATGTATTATTATTTTTAAGGCTTTACAGTGTGAAAACCAAAGGGGGCTAATGCAGCTGATTAAAACATGATGCCGCATTATCTTTATTGGCTCACATTCATTTTTGAAATGGGGATGTTTTTACAGCGCTAATGATTGCATAATGTTCCAAAATTGAATAGTTGCATAATTGCCTTTTGTCACATCCCCTTGCTCTCGAAATGAAATATATTTTTCATTATCATTTCACGTGTATTACACTACATTAAGCCCTTGCCCTTAAGGTGATGTTTACAGATTAGATGTACTTGCTTGACATTTTCTGCTTTTCTCACACATTAAGTCTCTTTAACAGTGTGAGTAATAAGGTTTTCTCTCTGACTCCAGTGTTTCTGGACATTTCACTTGAATTCATTTTAATCTCACTTGAATTCAAACGGTCTGTTTATTCTATTTGTTCTTTGACTGGAGCAGAAGTGCTCAGCGGCTTCGCTCTGCAGCATCACCACGGAGGTGCTAAAGGTTTTGAATGCTACTGAGGACCTGATTGGTGAGGCGGGAGGCGAGAGCTACACCCCTTCTGAGTCTATGAGTGCTTCTCCCATATCCAGCAGCTCTGAGACCCGCAGGTTGGACCAGAGGCTTACCAAAATGGAGGAGAATGTAAGCTAGAGAGCACCTCCATGCAGTAGTTTTGCCTCCTGAATCAGTGGTGCTTATGGGAACTAAATGTTTTGCTCTTTTCTGTGCAGGTTTATCTTGCTGCTGGTGCAGTGTATGGCCTCGAGGGAGCACTGGGAGACCTAGAGCACTGCGCCCGCAGTATTAGCAGTGGGACAACAGACCAAGAGCTGGCCTTCCTGGAAGATCAAGTGGCTACCGCGGCTGCTCAAGTCCAGCAGTCTGAACTGCAGGTACTTCAGAGGATCGATGACTGTTTGCACACATCTTTATACTGCTAATCATATGTTATAGTCTTACTAAACCCTGAACAAAGATAAGAAGAACTATTACCTGAGACATCCTCCTTAAATTCTCTTGAAAAAAATCATCTTTTTGCTTTAAGATATCAAACATTGAGGCAAGAATATCAGCTCTGAAAACGGCTGGGCTGAACGTGACTGTCTGCAATCGCTTCTCCAAGCTCAAGCCAAAGTCTAAGGTACTCACTGGCCTTCCTGCACGCTTAATCTTTTGCAATTTGTTTTGTACTTTCAGGCCATATGTAATGTCTTTAAAGAGTATTGGTGTAACTGATGAACTTGTCTGTGCTTATATAGTAATGAATGGTTATTGGAATAAAGAAATGGTCAGATATGGTTGGTTTGTTGATTTTAATGAACTATAATAGATGAGCGATGGTAATATTCTCATTACAGCCGCAAACCCTGGACTCATCACGCCATCAGAGGAGGAAGCTTCCAGCGCCTCCACTAAAAGGTACCAAACGTGCCAATTTTGCTCACTTAGGAGAAATCTATTATGTTGAGACAAAGAAAACATTTTTTTTTTTTAAACTGAACTAAACTGCGGACATATGCAGGGTACAGCCTTGTATATACAAAGTGTGAACGTGTATGCTTATGTACGCGTGTGAAACCGAGACACCTAGAGATGGGAACTGAGACAGAGGGGAGGGACATTTTTATTCGGCCTTAGTTAACATCTCACATTTTATGCTTTGTCCTAAAAGAAGAGAGAGGCCATTGAATGGATGTAAAAGTGAATACATTTGCTAAAAAGAGACTAAGTAACTGAAAAGCTCCATTAGATGTAAAGCAGCCAAATGGAAACACACACACAGTCCAGGGGGATAAGGCTGTTTTATCAACCAACTGTAAGTCTGTTCCTTTTCATATTCGTGAAAAGCCTCTTTCTGCTGCAGCTTTCTTTATTTTCTTTTTTGTCTCTCTTTTTTTCTTCACCGTCATCTACACAATGACTTTGATTCAGGGTGGCTTTTTAGCAAAGCTCCAAAGAGAGACAGCAGAAAGGACAATGGGTCAAACTCAGTGACCAAGACATTGATTCAGTAATTCCACCTTAGTGTGTTCCTTCTATCAGTCCATACAACGTGCTCCACATTTGTAGTGAAAATATACTGACATTTAGCTATACACCACCAAACCTTCTTGTTGCTTTGAAATGACCGTGAGGAAAAGCACTTTTTGATCCAATACAACATTATGGAATAAATATAAATGACTTGTTTAAACCAAGGTTGTGATGAAGCCTTTGCAACTGTGTGTACTACCCCCATCACGAACTATCAAAATCTGTCTTTTACCACTACCATGTCATAAATCTGCCAGTTTAGGACACTGAATTGTCTAATTACTCTAATGTGTACTGGAGACCCCACTCCTATTCAGGTTAGAGCCAGTTTGCAGAGCTCTGTGAAAGGAGTATACACGTTGTTTTATGAAACCTTCATTTTATCTGGTAGTTTCCAGAAACATGATTTATTGCTTAAAACAACAGTAGTTGAGAGTTTCATGGGAAAACACTGTGACATTCCGAAACCAGATGCTAGATGTAATTTCTCCAGCATGTCCTGCCCAGGGCCTCCAAGACATGCCCAAAACACCTCATGTAGAAAGTGCCGAGGAGACATCCTAGTCAGATTCCTGAACCACCTCAGTTGGTTCCTTTTGATGTGGAGGTGTAGCAGCTGTACAGTGAGTACCGCCTCAATGACTGCGCTCCGCACCTAATCTTACCTAAAGGAGAACCAAGACACCCTAAGGAGGATGCCCATTTCCTCTGCTTGTACTCACTATCTCACTTTTTCAGATCTAGGCTCAGGCTACCTCAACCTATCATGGCCGTCTGTCATGATAGGTTGGGGGTGAAAGATGGAGACAGGACAAAGGACATAAATACACATATATGTGATTTTTCCCAAAAAGTTGATTCTGTTCATCTGGATGTAGCACCATCGGGAAAACGATATATCCAGATGAACAGAATCAACTTTTTGGGGATTTCCTTACCTGGATGATTGAGCATGAATCAAGACACACGTGCTTTTCTTAAAATAAAAATGTGGCATTTATTCTCATTTCAGAGAAGTTGGAGCCAGAGCAGCAGGTTAAAGTATTTCGGCCATAGTGACAGTCAACAGCACAATGAGTCCCTCAGGGCTATTTTCAAGCCCCAGGGACAGGGGCTCTTCACATCCAGTGCCTTGACCCAGCATCTGCCTCTAGCTCCAGGCCAAGCAGGGGCCACCACCTGCCCTGTGTAACCCAACTCAGCACTCATTCCTCACACAAGCTCAGTACCCATCAGTTAAAGAGATCAAAGAAGACATCGCTGGATCTTTCTCTTTTAACAAGATCTATTTCATGCTGTTTTTCCTCCTTACTGCACACACATAGACTCACACACACACACACACAGAAATATGTTATTTAACAGTCGGTTTCTCTGCCTTAAGATCTGCAAACACTCCTCATAAACCGACTTAAAAGAATATATATGTACAGATAAAGAAAAACTCAGTTTTCTATCTGTTTGCAAGAGTGTTGTGAATTAATGTGCAATGAAGCTGTGGAAAAGCATAAGAAAATTTGTGTGATTCAGTGTCCTGAAAAGAGGCTGAGCCATGTTTTATACTGCATCGTCTTTGTCACCATGAACCAAGAAATGTTACGGGGGATTTATTCAAACTGTTTTGTTTTTTTGATGATTGTCAATATCCACCCGCATATAGCTATCAGATGGTAATCACCAAATGGGGATGATTGTAACCTTCAATATTTTACTGATTTATACAAATCACAAGCAGACCAGAAAAGAGTTGGAAAAAAGAGCTGTTTAGATGTTCAAAGTATCACGTCACCAGTGTTTTGGTTTTGTTTGGGGGAGGTTTTGTCCGTTGCACCATGTGCTTGATGACTATAAAGGAATAGCACATTGAGAAACTGTAGCTGAGAAGAAATTAAGCTAGTTAAAAGACCAGGTCAACATGTTGGAAATATAATCATTTAATTTCTTGCTGTGACCTAAGTAACTTAGTCCAGCCACTGTCAAGGCAAACTGTCAAACTTGTATCAAGAAAAAAGGAGAGGTCAAATTGAGAAATGGGCAGCTAATGATAATCCGAAACCGAAGGGAGCTGGACAGAACCAAGCTCACCGCTTCCTCCTTTTTTAGTCTCTCAGCTAAGCTAAGCATCCATTTGCCATGCTGACATTTCACTGGTGAGGAGTGTGTAAGTTTATTTAGGAAAGAAAAAGCTGATTTGTAGATACATTCACATATTGGAAATTGTGGGTTACAACATTTAAATAGATCAAAATTAAAAAAATAGTTTGCATGGAGCATCCATCCAGCTTATCCGGGGGAACACCTGGATAAGCTGGTGGAGGTGGCTGGGGCGAGGGAGGTCTGGGCCTCTCTGCTTAGGCTGCTGCCCCCGCGACCCGGCCTTGGATAAAGCAGATGAAGATGGCATCCATCTGACATTCAAGTTGGGTCTGAAAATCCTCCTCCGTGACATATGTAGTTTCTCCAACACAAAGCCATTCTTCCTCCTCCCTGTCACTTTCTTTGTTTACTTTTAAACGTTGTGGCCTTTTATTTAAGGAGAAAGAAAAGAGTATTTTCATGTTTTCCCTTTACCGGGGTCACGTCTGATCTTTTGTGTTGCATTCAAAGATTCTTGTAAAGATTTTTACATAAGAAAGTCTGACGGGCTATATAACAAATGCCATGAAACCATGATTTTGTTACGAGCAATTTATTTTTGTACTGAACGTTTTTATGCAATACCACTGAAATAAGTACTATTGCAAATTAAAGGCTTTATTCTCTCCTCAAAGGAACCCACCTCAGTCAGTCCTACCGGACTCTCTTATGTGTGATGACTCAAATTGCTTTCAGTGTAAGCTTGCATTTACCATTCGATGTTCTGCCAGTAATGACGATGGTAAATGCTTTGAAAACACAGGTGATGAGAGGCACACTTGTACTCCTTAAACACGAGAATACTGCCTTTCAGTTTTGGGAGATTTTAAGTTAGCCATGCATACAGTTATCAGAGTTCTTGCTTTGGCTCCAGCTTAATAAGAGCATGTTTGGATTCTCTGATAGTGTTTGAAAGGTGTGATGATCTTCTGTATGAATGCTCTGCCCCTTCTATTAGTGACCTTTTCATCCCCAGCCTTTCGCATCTTGGGTTTGCACATTGATCTTGTATTTTTTGTCAATCTTGTTCTCCAGAGGTGTTGATGTAAAAAAGAGCATGTTTCTGGCTTTATCAAACTGATGAAAAATGTCTCTCTAAGAAGCACAGCCACAAGGGTCCAATCATCAGTGTCCTGTATTTTTCTAATGTGAAAAAAATAATAAAAAAAGTAACAATATCTCATTGCAGAATTTGTTAATATACTATATGTGTGAAAAACATGGATATGATATGATAATGTGTTTATTGCCCAATCATAGTTGACAAATCGTTCAGTGTTGTGCAAGAGACTGTGTATAATTGTCATGACTTGTGAGGCTGGATTTGCACAGGACGTCTCGTTGGTTGTTGGAACAGTGTCGCGGATACTGAGAAGTGATGAGATTCTCCCAGAGCTAAAAACAAATGTTGCTTTTGTTCCTGTTTAAATCCAGTGTGAACGACTATGAAGAGGTTCACTGTGCACAGCTCCACAGGCGGGCCATTCACTTTTATGTGCAATTGTTTGTTGCAATCCATACGATATGTTGGGGAAATTATTAACAAGCAAAAAAAGAAAAAAAATGCAGATTCTCTATGTGCCACAGTACTCTGAGAAAAAAATGTATTATGAAATAAATAAAATTCGCAAACTTAAAATTGTGTTTTGTTTGCTTGTTTTTTCAAAGAAAATGTTTGCCTTCACACTCACGAAAGTTACAAGCAAGGTTGTCAACAGATATAATCATGACATCCTGATTTATTAATCAATGTAGAGTGCATTTTTATGTACAGACATGGGTGAGGCTCATAACAGACACAAGAGAAATATAATTATGAAGACGTGTATATAGTGTCGATTTTTAAAAAATGACAAACGAAAAATAAAACGGAGTTTTTGGATGTGGGGAGGAGAGCACATCACGGTAGCCAATCACCGTCCTCCCCGTCGAGCACTTTTCCAAGGTTCTCCTTGTTTCTCAGGCTGCTGAGCAGCAGCTCCAACGTCCTGACGACGGGCATCCCATCGCTGCCCAGAGCCTCCAGACTGCTGTGCCTCTTCCCAAAGCGCCCAATGGGTCTCACCCCACGCCCCACATACCAGAATGGATCTATCTCTGGACCTGGAAACCAAGCAGAGACAAGTTTATCAGTGCCACATAAAGCAAGGGATCCATACAAGATGTTAACAGCTATGTTTGAAAACAGAATTAATATTTAGGAAAGTGGTGGTTAAATATTCTGTTAGTGGACGGACTGTGAGGACAAATACTACTATTACAGCCACAAAACGGCATGATTTTGCCTTTTCCCCCCTCCCTTTTTTAAAAAAATTGTCTTTTAGTGGCTATCCTTCAGACCTAAAACAATGTTATTCTGATATATTACCATGTAAAGTCTGAAAGCCTTTCAAATTAACTGCCAAATATGTTTTCAGTCTTTAAACAACTCCTGAAACGCATGAATGCTCACATCTGTTCAGAACGTTTAGTGTGCAACAACACAGAAGGCCGATCAACAGTATTAATAAATTAACAAATGCGTTTCTATCAAAACATTTAATTCAGTAACAAAATATCCAGCGTGGGGAGCCAGTATTAGTACTCCAATAATGACACAACCACATACTGAATTTACATTTGATGGCTGGTGGAAGGTGAAACCCGGTTAGCATTTCCTCACTCTGAATTAAACAGTGTGTAATTAACCAAATCAGTTTAAAGTCTAATAACAGAAAGTCTCCTGGTTACACTGACAGACAGCATATCTTTAAACTTAATAACTGGAAATAAAGATTTCAATGGATATAATAGGATTATTAAGAAATAATTACATTAGATCTATTGAATTCCATACACTCAGACACACACTTTATTAAATTGTGGTTGATTTAATAAAGTGTAATAGCCTATTTAGCTTTCTTTCTTTTTTTTCTTCTTTTTTTCTTTTTGAGCGCGTAAATCCCATCTGATCCTTATCGGGAAAGTCAAATCGGAATGATTTAAAGAAAACGGGTCTTACTTCTGTTGTCTACATTATGAACAATGTGGAAGTCGTGCTCCACTGTGGTGCTGTGAGCGCGGCTGAAGCTGGAGGAGAGAAGGAGGAGAAGCGCCAGAGCTGCGGGCAGCCAGCGGCTCGTCAGGACGCAGTGCCGGACATCAGCCGCTCTCACGGGCAGCATGCTGCGGTGTCGCTCAAGGCACTAAAGACAGGACGCAGTTATAAGTAACTTATCACTTTTGAGAAGACACTGAAAACAGGAGCTATTCGCAAAACCAAGAAAAGACAGAGCTTGATAAAACTGTTGTGCCTTTTTTGCGCCCAATAGTAAAACTTAACGAAAGACCGTTTCAAGTAGGATTAAGTCTTTTAAACCTCGGGACTAATCACTGAAACTGTAATCTGAAAACTTGAATTTCATAATTCTTAATGATGATAGAAACTTTGTGATGGTTATAAATCAGAGATCCTTTGGGATTATGTGCAGGTTGAAATAGTATAATTAGCCGCAATTAGCACAACTGTAGTTATTAAAAGCAAAGTAAAAATATTTGCATTTTGCGTTAGACATGCAAAATGCAAACCCCAAATGGTAAATACTTACCCTGAACTTTGGTAACAGGCTGAGGTCAGTTGGTGGACGTCTTGAGTCTTTATTGTTGGCAGGTGTGCCCCAGCTTATATATATCTCCATGCTGCCCATGAGGCTGTTGGATGATGAATCAAGAACGTCAGTCAGCCACAGTGATCCCAGACTACTGGATGCATCACCCTTCCTCTGCTCCTCCCACTCTTTAAACCCCCACTCATCCTTTTGAGAATGGAGGTTTGCTTTCAGAGTTTCCCTGACGTCTGTCACGCAGCAGAGCAGTCCATCAGCAAGTCAATGACATGCAGACACCTTTAAATTCATGAACATGGGGAGACCCACCAGCCCAAGTAGGTCTGTGAGACAATGAACCGGAGCTTTGGTGGGCGTTTTATGATTAGCCTTTCATCAATCAGCTTGATAGGGACTGGGTAGCACACCATCGGCTTCTGCAAAATGCTTCTTGGTTAAGATGTCTTCTCACAAGCTTTTGGAACTTCAGTGATTCATGACGGGCGCTGAAAAGTCACATACACTCACAGTGCTACACATGAGGAAGAAGTAAGTGGAAATATGCTATATTTGCCACTGGTAGGTACTGAAAGGTGACAGTGAATCACAAGTGAGATGCTATGCATGGTGAGGAGAGATTTTCAAATGTATTGAGGTGTAAAGCTGCCTTGGGGCCCAAACCAGCATCTGTACAAGTCAAGAAACTGTAACACAAACTGCTTTGAAGGTGTGCCTAACAAGCAGGTGTACTTTATTCAAACCAAAAAAATACATCTGTAATTTTTGTCAGTTATGTTACAGTATGCATCCATTCAAATGCACATCAAATAATTATTCAACTCCATCTAAAACTACACAGACTATCACTGATAGCACGTGTTTATGTTCATGTACACAACTCCACCCTGCGGCAGCACTTTTGTGCCCCTCCTACCGATTAGAGCAACCATAATTGCGTCATGGCTGAGATCAGATTGTATGTTGCAGAGTGTGGCTGCAGTAATGAGAAGATAACAACCTGAGGATGTGCAATTGCAACACAACGTGGAAAAATCCATAAATAATGAAGCAAATTAGATTTATGACAGGGAACCCTTATTTGCTGGTGTCACCCTTGGATGCATTTTGCAGACGAATACATTTAAAAAGGGCACAGAAAAATGTTCTCAGTTCCTTGTGTGCAATGTTTTATCTCACTGCTGTGATGGGTGTTAGCATTGTTTTCTCCTGCCCAGATAATTCCAGCTGCACATTTTCCTGCCTGAAAGCAAAAACACACGACATTGCAGTATCTTTCATTTTAAACTTTTCTCTCGTGACTGTGGGGTCATAGGTCCCCGAATAATCGCTGATTAGCTTTCTTTGTGTTATAGAAGTATTGATCAAGTCACAGCACCAGGTGACCAGCAGGGCTTCCTTCTCCATGACATGCTATGAATAATATAGCTGAAAGATCAAGATTTGTTAATTATTTATAAATGGCAGCCAAGTGGAGCCAGTGGCCTAGTAGCCTAATGGACAAGGCACCAGACTCCGGAGCTGCGGATTGTGGGTTCAAGTCCCACCTGGGTCAAGAATACATGGGGATCAATAGGGTTAGTAATTTAAAGCAGGTTGGCACAGGCTCCTAACCCTACTGATAAAGTCCTCCCTGTTGTAATTCATGCTACACTTAAGTAAGTTTTCTTTAATGTAGTTAAACATCTTTACACTGGCAAAAACGGGAGTTTGTCCCACTTGAGATCAAAGAGGGTTGAATGTGGCATACCATGTTGGGTTCGATCTCCCTGATCAAAAGCATTTCTCTTCTTTCCTACATTGCTGACACACTATCCATGATCTAAAGCGTGTGAGGATGAGACAACAGGAGGTATTTCCCTTGCACCTTGAATTCAGAACAAAGGCCATTTATATAGACAAACATTCTACATCCACAAACCTTACACACAGACAGCTCAGGGGGCGAAAAGGACATTAAAAAAAGGACACAAAATTTTTATTTTTGTGAGGACATGAATATTTTAAAAGTAAACCTTTTACGAAAGGTCACTGTTGAATAGATGGCTGGTAAATGTTTTCTGTTGAATGTCACAAAAGCCATTTTCAGGCCATCAGATGAGAGCAATGGACCAGAGAGGCCCAGAGGCCTAATGGACAAGGCACCATCCTCTGGAGCTGGTGGTTGTGGGTTTAAGTCTCACCTGGGTCGAGACTACTAAAAAGGACACTTAACAAAGTCTCAAAAAGTGAGAACTAAAACGAATGCAGACTGAAAAAAAACTCCTTTGCTTACACGGAGTCACTGTTGATCTTGAAAATCTTATATAAATACTATATATATTTCCACAGACATGAATTATTTAGAAGATACCGGGAACATGCATCCACCGTTTTTGTAAACTGAATGCTTTGCTGCCTCTCTGTGGTCAAATGCGCACATAGACTTTTTTACTGGACTACATCGCAAACAAATATATGTGTGCAATATATAAATATACAGTGTGTTAAGAGACAAGAAAGAAGTGAATCTTCGGTGCAGCTAAAAAAAGAAACAGCGTTCACATGATTCATAAATATTACAGCGGCATACGTCACCCAACGAGGAACGCATGCGCAATGTGAAATGAAAGCAAACAGCAACATATCGATACCAGTCTCAAACTACTACCATAACCTTGGAGTCAGGACGGTATTTATGGGACTACAGGCAAAGGAACTTTACTTAGAAGCCAAAATAAGACACACCGAATCTGCCTGAAACGGAGCTTTCTCTAAAAAAAGAAGAGAGAAGTGAAACATCGCTCGCGTTTGACTTTTTGGAAGTGGCTCTAAAATAGTTCTCCGACTCTGCGCACTTGCTTCCTGTTGACACTGACTCTGTCAAATAACCAGTCAAACGACTCACTGACAGAAATGTAAAAGAAAGGAAAGCCGAGACCAGGTAAGAACGCGGGACAGGAGGTAAACAGACAGGCAGACGGGACTCCGCTGGAACTATTTTCTACATGAGTCTTCGGGCAGGATGTCGCTGAGTTCAGGCGGTTGGGCTCACTCC